GGTGAGGAGGGGGTGAGGAGGAGGGGGTGAGGAGGGGTGAGGAGGAGGGGGTGAGGAGGGGGGGGTGAGGAGGAGAGGGTGAGGAGGAGAGGTGGAGGAGGAGGGGGTGAGGAGGGGGCGAGGAGTGGGTGAGGAGTGGGTGAGGAGGGGGTGAGGAGGAAAGGGTGAAGGAGGAAAGGGTGAGGAGGAGGGGTGAGGAGGGGGTAAGAGAGGAGGGTGAGGAGGAGGGGGTGAGGAGGAGGGGATGAGGAGGGGATGAGGAGGAGGGTGAAGAGGGGGTGAGGAGGAAGGGTGAGGGGGTGAGGAGGGGGTGAGGAGGGGTGAGGAGGGGGTGAGGAGGGGGTGAGGAGGAAGGGGTGAGAAGGAGGGGGGTGAGGAGGAGGGGTGAGGAGGGCGGGTTGAGGAGGAGGGGTGAGGAGGGCGGGTGAGGAGGAGGGAGTGAGGTGGAGGGGGTGAGGAGGAGGGGTGAGGAGGGCGGGGTGAGGAGGGCGGGGTGAGGGAGGAGGGGGTGAGGAGGAAAGAGTGAGGAAGAGAGGGTGAGGAGGAAAGGGTTGAGGAGGAAAGGGTGAGGAAAGGGTGAGGAGGAAAGGGTGAGGAAAGGGTGAGGAAGAAGGGTGAGGAGGAGAGGGTGAAGAAGATTGTGAGGGGGAAGGTGTAGGGGCGATGTTATAAAGAGGTTACGGAAGGATTTTTTTTTTTTTTGAGAACTGGAATGGGTTTGGATTGGGAAGAAGGAAGTGGTGCCTTTCTCACTTGACATCACTAATGAGACATGAGGTACCAGCACATAACTCATTCTCAAGTCATTTCCCCGTCGCCGTTACTGTCACTATACTTCCGTTTCCTGCCATAATTACCATCATCAGTGGCGTGACACCTCCGGTATTACTGTCGCTGTTGTCACCATTATCATCAACCTTCATTTCCTTTCACTTCACTAACACTGTTACGAGGGATTTCATTTTGCTAGCTACCATTACTGACATTCTTGCCGCTAAACTACCATTACTACTATGTCACTATAATTATTGAAAAAGCTAATATCATTATTACCAGTCTTGTTCCTACTACAAATTCCTCTATGGAAATCCCATTCCTGCCAATACCAACATAATTACTAACATAATGCTACCATTTCGACCATGCTACTACTACTCTTCAACTACGATCATTCCAATAATATCTAAATGCATTAGCACCATTATTGTAAGGAAATACCTTCTCTGCCATAATTGATCTCTATTTAAGTGTGTCTCGCCTTCCCTCATTATCATTTATTATGTAGCCCATTTCCTCCTTGCCACTACGACCTCTCACAGTCGCGGCTCTGAAGCCAGACTGCTTTGTTGATTGCCTCAGACATCAGTCCATGGCAAGACTGATGTCCGCGGCACATATGCCGTGGGCATCACTCAGTCATGTGCGAGATCAACCAAGTTGTGATGGAAATGAAGACCAGCGGGCTGCCAACAGAAACAGCCTGGATGACCAGGAAAGCGCCAGAAAAGCCTGGCCTTGGCTTAGTTGCAGTAGGAAAAATTCTCGAAAACGGTTAGAGGTATATCACAGGTATACTTGTTATTGGTATAGAGTATTATTTTTGCACTTTCGTGCGTCCTAGCGGGAGTCTCAGCTTTCTCTGTGACCGCCTGACCAGCCACCAAAACCTGGCTGATCAGCCACCTTCTTCAAGAACCAGTCAAGTTCCCTGGAAAGACACTGAAGAGTCTGGATCGTGTATGCAGTTAAATATTCACGAGAGAAATTCTTTTCTTCGGCCTCTTCTTTTTAGTTATCGCGGATGTCTCTAAGTCCAGTCTTCCTCTTTAGGGCCTGTGATATTTCTCTCTCTCTCTCTCTCTCTCTCTCTCTCTCTCTCTCTCGTAACTTCTCACAGAGACCTACCCTTGTCAAAACTTTACATGAAGTCCTGCATTATAGAAGCAGATGCCTGCCTTGCCTCTCCTCTCATGCCCTCACTACCTCACCCTACCGCAGACTGCGAACAAGCAACCACCCACCGCTATTCCTAGCCGCCCACCGCTGTTCCTGGTTACCTTCACGCCCAGCCGCCCACCACTGTCCCTGGTTACCTTCATGCCCAGCAGCCCAGCACTGTTCCTGGTTACCTTCATGCCTAGCCGCCCACCACTGTCCCTGGTTACCTTCATACCTAGCCGCCCACCACCGTCCCTGGTTACCTTCATGCCTAGCCAACCAGCACTGTTCCTGGTTACCTTCATGCCCAGCAGCCCAGCACTGTTCCTGGTTACCTTCATACCTAGCCAACCAGCACTGTCCCTGGTTACCGTCATGCCCAGCAGCCCAGCACTGTTCCTGGTTACCTTCATACCTAGCCGCCCACCACTGTCCCTGGTTACCTTCATGCCTAGCCAACCAGCACTGTCCCTGGTTACCTTCATGCCTAGCCACCCAGCACTGTCCCTGGTTACCTTCATGCCTAGCCAACCAGCACTGTTCCTGGTTACCTTCATGCTTAGCCGCCCACCACTCTTCCTAGTCACTCACCTCCATTCACCCTTATGAGGTTTTATCAAGTCTCGTGCGGGTGAAACGTGCTGCTAATCAATCTCTCACTTTACTGTATTTTTTTTATGAAAATCTGCGTCACGAGAAAACTGTCACGAAAAAAAACTGCATCACGGAAAACTGCGTCAAGACAAAACTGTGTCACGGAAAAAACTGCGTCACGAGAAAACTGTCATGAAAAAAAAACTGCATCACGGAAAAACTGCGTCACGAGAAAACTGTCATGAAAAACTGCGTCATGGAAAAACTGCGTCATGAGAAAACTGCGCCACGAAAAAAATGGATAACTCATGGGAGAGAATGAGACACGTGTTCAACAATTCGGTATCTTTATTGAGGAGACGTTTCGCCCGCTCTGCATGACTTCTTCAATCGAATAAAGATACACAACCGCTGAATGTGCGTATTACTCATCTTGCTGTAGATGTGTCTTATTCATCTACCTACAGATGTGTCTTACTTATCTACCTGCAGATGTGTCTTACTTATCTACCTGCAGATGTGTCTTACTTATCTACCTGCAGATGTGCCTTACTTATCTACCTGCAGATGTGTCTTACTCATCTTCCTGCAGATGTGTCTTACTTATCTACCTGCAGATGTGTCTTACTCATCTACCTGCAGATATGTTTTACTCATCTACCTACAGATGTGTCTTATTCATCTACCTACAGATGTGTCTTACTTATCTACCTGCAGAGGTGTCTTACTTATCTACCTGCAGATGTGTCTTACTTATCTACCTGCAGATGTGTCTTACTCATCTACCTGCAGATGTGTTTTACTCATCTACCTACAGATGTGTCTTATTCATCTACCTGCAGATGTGTCTTACTCATCTACCTACAGATGTGTCTTACTCATCTACCTACAGATGTGTCTTACTCATCTACCTGCAGATGTGTCTTACTCATCTACCTGCAGATGTGTCTTACTCATCTACCTGCAGATGTGTCTTACTCATCTACCTGCAGATGTGTCTTACTCATCTACCTACAGATGTGTCTTACTCATCTAACCTACAGATGTGTCTATACTCATCTAACCTGCAATGTGTCTTACTCATCTACCTACAGATGTGTCTTACTCATCTTACCTACAGATGTGTCTTACTCACTACCTACAGATGTGTCTTACTCATCTACCTGCAGATGTGTCTTACTCATCTACCTACAGATGTGTCTTACTCATCTACCTGCAGATGTGTCTTACTCATCTACCTACAGATGTGTCTTACTCATCTACCTACAGATGTGTCTTACTCATCTACCTACAGATGTGTCTTACTCAGCTACCTGCAGATGTATTTTACCTATCTACCTGCAGATGTGTTTTACTGATGTGTCTTAATCATGTACGTGAATACCACAATTAAAATGATACCGTGTAAAGAATATAAATGCCCATTAAACCTCTAGGTTTACGTTTTCTAAGACAACCCTGGTTTATATGTAGCATTACCAGCAGGTATTACACTCCGTTTTTTAAATCAGACTTTCATCTCATGTGTTAAGAAATAAATCCTTAAGCGACTTATTACTGTATTCAATGAGATCAATAAACCCGTAGGAGTCATACAGCACATGTCAGATGGTGGATAATCTGGTCTGATTGAAGGGGAAGGTAGCTCCACTTCCTTAGATCAAGATGGAAGATCAAACTGCAGATGCCATGGAACGAGGTATATATATATACACCCCCCTCAAAAAAAAGCACACACACCTACCTTGAGCGTAGACACAGAAACTAAGACACAGGAGTGAAGGCTGTGTCACAGTGTGATTCTCGCCTCATTCTGGTTGTCTGCAAGAGTTGCTCGCCCGTTACACCCTTAGCGCCCGGAGGATCGAGCCTCCACCACTCCTTGTGCTCAAGGACCCTCACGTTTTTAGCGCTTCACATAAACACAAATACAATAATAGTATGTCATAGTGCCGGGGGTAATAAGTTAATTAGTGAATGGTACTTACATGACAGAGCATCAACCACGCCTCAATCTTCCCTTACCTGTAAAAAAAATGAAATTTTTTATTAAAATTGTGTTTACATCTTGCGTGGTGGATCACTGTCTTCATTATCAAGAATCCTTAAGGCAAGTTCACTTGACTTTACAATGAATCGATAATTAGCAACGTTACTAATATACTCTTTTGCGTTATGATTAATATGCAGTTAAACGTTACTAGTACTATCAAAACTACATAATAAACTTTAGGAGTAAAATATCTAAGGTCATGCTAAAAATGAAAGTATTAAACTTCTAGGGGAAAGTTTATAATTTACAAAATTGATTGAAAATATTTTCTTAATGATAAAAAGGTGCCTTCCATTCCCTCTGGAAAAGGTTGATAAAAGTTTGTACCAAAGAGATGTTATCGCGTCTCGTATGATCGTGATCCAATTAATTATGATCTTTCTGTTACCAGGAGTCAAACTACTAATCTCATTATCTATCCCATTAAGCACAAACAATCAACTCATTCATCAACAGCATGATGAAAATCGCTCCAGAAATATTACTTTACCCTTTCATTACAACTTCCCTGGTCAGTAAAACAACTTCACCTATCAGACTTATAACTTCTCCAAGGGCACGGCATGCCTGTTGGAGAACGATAACTTCCCTTTGCTTACGATTAAAAAATGAGTCATTATAACCATGGGCAATGTCACTATTCTAACGGGAAAGGAAGGCTCCAAATGTGAGGGGGAAAATCTTTGTACCTACCTTTAGCTGGGACTGCTCAAATGAGGAGTACTGAGCGAGCTACGAAGAACGAGACTGAACATTAGAGAATACATACATAACAATACATAGACGCGCAGGCAACATTACCAAATGTTTCTCATGGGGTGAGCTTATGACACAGCAAGCCATAGCAAATTTAAAATGTGTAAAAATTACAGAATTATCTCTGGTATCGAAAAGTGTTAAACGTTATTTGGTAAGTGTAATTTATCACCTGAGTAACAAATCACTATAAGTCTAAACTGTTAATTGTGTTAAGTGTTTCAACACACAACTCTGTTGTGAGAGCAAGAATTCATTTAATTACTGCTGTGATAACAGCTATTAGTTGTAGTCTAATGACTCATAAGCGCATCCTATCAAACTAACACGCTAAAGCACCTTTCCTAAGGGATACACAGTGGTTTGCTGTGTCGTAACCTGACACCAACGCAAGTTTGGTAATGAAGCCGAAAGTGAAAAAGTTTTATGTAGCAGAGAAAGCTAACCCGACTCATGTATTGACTCAACACTCATCCCTAACTCAAGTTGCAACAGACGTCCCTGAAAACTCAACAACAATCTGTTATCAGTAAACATTAAACTGCAAGAATATGATTCGTGAAAGTGTTGTGGTGTGTGCATTACTGTTGTGGAAGTAGCGTGTGTTGTGGTGACTGTATTGTGTTTTAATGTGTGTTGTGGATAGTGGTAGTGTGGTGCGACGTTGCAGAGGGGTGAGTGTATTGGTGTAGTGGTAGAGTGGCGAGTGTCGTGGCAGTGTGGTGAGACAGACTATACTGGACTAGGTCGGGTTAGACTTTCTTACACTACAAGTCAAAGACTTAACTAATGTTTGAATTGCAAAATGAATGCAATCAAAATTATTTAATTCAACAACAGTCTGAGAGGCAACTTATCTGAATTAACTGTGATATTTACAATTAAACTGACACAATTTACATTAGATATTGCCAAAATGTGCATTAGGAGACGTTAATAGTTAATGATAACCTAAGAGCATGAAAAGTTGCAGCCAAGCAGCGGCCACAGGAAGCACTCTCTCTCCTACCTGAGAAAACCTCGACTGTGTGTCCATAATCTCGAAGAAGAGTTGCATCTTGCGGTGGAATGCCTGCGTGCCCTGGGCAGGTGAGGGAGGGCTGATGGGCAGCACACACGTCGGGTACCCATGAGATGTGTGTCGCAGGGGCAGTTGACGCAGCTGTGCCCTGCCCCGCAGATCTAGACTGGAGAACCTGCGTGGGGCGGGCCCTCCACCTGAGGGAGACACGAGGAGCCCCGCGGGGTCGGGGCCTCGTTGGGGCGACACCGCTGGGGAGCTGTAGGCGGAGCGGCTACGGTAGTTGTGTGGCAGCGACCTTTGACTGACGTGGCCGGTAGGACGCCCCAGGCCATCAGGGCGCTTGGGTGTGCCCCCGGGCGTGGTGGCGGGCGTGCTGCTGGGCGTAGTGGCAGAGGAGCCTCGCGAGGCGCCCGGAACATCATTTCGCGAAGGGGAAACGAACCTAGCAGGTGTTGAGGTGCCACTGGTGGCTGGGCTGGGTCCTGTGAGGCGGCTGAGACTGCCCACGCTACTGCTACCCCCACACTGGTACAGCGACCGACCGCTGCTCTTCTCCTGCGGCCGAGCTAGCTGCAGCCGGCTCTCTATGGTCCGTAGCAGCGCTTGGCCGTCCGGTAACGTGGATCCGCAGCTGCTGTTGCTGGCCGTAGCTGAGATAGTCCCGGAGGCGTAGCTTCTGAGTCCGTAGTCCGATATTGACGACGGCAACGACTTGTAGCCACTTTCTGGACTCTGTAAACTTTTGCTCATTGGCTTATGCGTCCGTTTATCACTGTTGTGAGTGTTCCCCGTGAGGCTTTTCAGTCTCATTTCTTCCAGCTTGGCTCGCTGAAACAAAGCTTCAAGGTAGGCCAGCTTGCTAACGTTAATCTCGTGCGCCGCGCGGATGCGGTTCAAGCCATTGTTAAACCTGGCAGTCTCACTGTTGGGCGACTCTTGTCCATAGTGTGTGAGGGGCCTGAGAGCGTCATCCAGCGTGTGGTCACCGTTCAAGACGGGTGTGGTCTGGGACCTGGGCAGCGAGGTGCGGATGAGTCTCGGGTTGGGATCCATGTCTTCCTCGACTCGGTTCTCCTCGGAGAGCGGCGGGTTGCTGCTCTGTTCCGACCCAGAGCTCTCCTCGTAGCCCGGGCTC